ATAGTATGGGGGGAGTGGTTTCTTGGTGTTTTTTCTTTTCCTTCAGGCAGCAAAAGGCCGTTCCTTCATAAATAACTTTACAGACGAAGACAGGTACTCCTGTACAAATAATTTTTATTGCTTTCCTTTTTTGTACAGAAGTTACTTGTGAACCTCCTACTTCTTTGAAAGACATTCTATAGAAGTGATCAGCTCTTGTCACATACAGCACTGATGGTACCTGTCTGTCATGGGTTTGGAGGGAAAGTTCCATCCTATGGGGAGTGGAAGGCGGGACATCAGGGGGGAGGAGCTGTACTGTATATATTTGGGGGAAGTCCATCGTAAGGGAGCGGACGTGGAGAAGTGGAGTTGGAGTCTGTGGGTCAGACTGTGTACAACTGTTCGTCAGATAGTACATACCTGGACTGTGATTTCAGTTGGCTTCTGTTCATGGAATAGTATGGGGGGAGTGGTTTCATGGTGTGTTTTTTTCCCTTCAGGCAGCAAAAGGCCATTCCTTCATAAATAACTTTACAGACGAAGACAGGTACTCCTGTACTGAGCTAATACATCAAGTAAAATACAAATAATTTTTATTGCTTTCCTTTTTTGTACAGAAGTTACTTGTGAACCTCCTACTTCTTTGAAAGACATTCTATAGAAGTGATCAGCTCTAAAGAACTGTTGTTGCTTTAAAGTCAGGTTGCTCTTGGGCAGAAACCTCCTACTCTACTGTTGATTAAGGAAGAGAGAAGATATGGATTTACTGAGCTGGTTAATTAGTAGTAAACGGCACAAGCATCTGTCACCCAGTTGTTTAATAGCTTGTACCAACAAACTGAGATACATCGCACATTCTAAATTATACTACTGAAGTGAACAAAGCTTGTGTCAGTATGTGAAATTTTGTATGTATAGAGTGTTAAAATAATAAAGGCAGGGTATGGAAAAATCAGCCCTAAAATGAAAGTACTTTTAAAATTGAGGCTTGAACAATAGCTTATCACAGTCATTTAAAAACAATTAGCTAGCTCTAGTTGAGCAAGTTCACAGTGTCATAACAATCCTGCCAGCTGAAGAATATTTCAAAATGATAACCAAACATTTAAAAAACATGTTGGTTCTATAATTTTCTCTCATTAAAGTTATTAGGTTCCGGTTTTCCAGATTTTAGGGGGGGATCTAGATCTTTTATGCCATCAGTCTTTATTCTTCCAAGCTCTCTAAAATTTTAGTCATAACCATAACTTTATCAGCATCATGGCAACTTGCCAGATTTCAAGTTACAAAACTCTTGGGATTACAAAAATGCAGGAATAATACAGTTTCATACTGAAAAATTATTCTTGGATGTCTAAGCTTTTAGACCTCCAAGCTCTGCAGAAAAGATTGTTTATAACTGATAAAGGGATGATAAGGGTATAAATAATGGCCAAAAAGGATAGCCAGGGCAACAAGCAAAAGATGCCAGGAGGACACCATTAGAGCTGAGAAAACACTTCTGGGGAGGAGAATAATATTTTTTCATATATCTGATGTGATTTTATAATGGCTTATGCTCTAGTCTAGTCTTTTAATTACATCGTTTTTAATATGCTTTTCATAGATATGACTTAATTGAAAATTAAACTTTTATAACTTAGAAAATAGGGCTTTGTAACACAAATTTGAAGTCTTTTGTAACACTTTAGATACAGTCATATTTCGTTTTGAAGTACCATTTTAACTTTTATTAGAACATTTTAAAGTTTTTGCTAAGGTCATTGCTTATATTTCTCATTTAGTTAGTTAGGTTTTTATAGTCACACTCCTATAACATTGTATTGAGTTTTCATAGGACCCTTGTGGCATAGTGGTTAAACAGCAGTGCTGCAGTGAAGAATCTTCTTGTGACTTGAGTTTGATTCTACTGGGTCAGGTAGCCAGCTCGTAGTTGACTCAACCTTCCATTCTTCTGATTAAATACCCACTTCACTTGGGGAGCAATGTGTAGCCTGCATAATTAAATTGCAAGCTTCCCAGGGAGTGCTTTAAGCACTATGGTATGTAAGCAGCACACTTTGCTTTTATAGTTGAATTTTTTGGATATTCAATGGACAGCAGTATAACACATTTATATCTTCCATACAGTTTGCATAATGGCTATTCAATAAAAGGAAGAAAAGTAGACTTTTAGGACATTCAGTTTATCTTTCTTGCATGGGGAAAATAAATCAGAAGTATATTCAGAAAAAAGAATTGTACAAGGTAAAAAAATATTTGTCTGGGTCACACTGGGATTACCCCTTTTGAAATGTTAGCTGCAATCAACATAGGCTCCTGAATTTTCCCTGGAGGTCTATGACGTTTTGTAGGAGTTTTAGGAATATGTTCAGGGATCAGTTTATCTGACCTGATACTTGGGATAGCCAGGAGTAGACATTTGCATAGAAATATTATGGGCTGTATTCAGCTTATGTACCCCAAACACCTAATCTGGGTGTTATAAATAAATACCTGGGTTCGTCATTCTTTAGTTCTAAGTGTATGTCTTTTGTATTAGACTCTTGGGCAAAATATCAAGGAAACAGTAAAAGTGCAAAGTAGATCTTGCAAGATCTGGCCTCCTGATTCAGCTGTCCTTGAGGACACAAATATTTGTGCTGTGTTACTTCCGTAGTCATACATGCTGTTACATTGAGGGAGATAATTTCTGCGTCTGGAAAATGCCAAATGTGAATTGGGTACGGAAAACAACATTGATTTAAGACATATGGCTAGGTATGACTGTTATATTCAAGACCTCCATGTGGTGTCTCTAGAGACATAAACATTGCTTCCAAGCTTTGTAAGAGTAGTTGCTTCAACTCATCTCCAACTTTTGCAAAATCAAAAGAGGAATTGGAGCACTCCTGCCATGAAAGACTTATGTTGCTAACAGCATCCATGATCATGTTCCAGAGCTTGGCAAAGTTGGTTTTTCAATTTCATACTAGACAGAAGAGTCAAGAAGTTTTAGTCCTTTTAGCAATCTTCTGAAGCTTTGCTTAGTGCTCGGTATATCCACGCTTCTTGCAATAAATGTATTGTTCTGTATATTTATATGTATTTTTCTTTCACTGAAGTCTGCGGTTCTTATCACCTTATTTTCAGACAGAATTTCTGTGGCTTTAACAAACAAAGGTATTTGTCAAGTCAACCTTTTCCCACTGTGCAATCATAACATACCTAAAAGCTTCCCTTGCTAGATTTTTGTTTGTTATGACATTTTAAGGGCACAGGAGACCTGCAAGGAAAACAGGACTGAAAACTGGCATCTCAATACTTTGTCTTTGCTTGTCATCAAAGGGTGAGGGAAGGGCAGTGCAGCTCTGTAAGCTCTGAGAAATGCAAGTGAGTTGAAATCCCATTTGAAATCCATATTCTTTTAGTGAAACTTAAATAGCATAACTTCCTCTGGGTTGTCCTTGCCGTATCTTCATTTTTCTTAATAATAATCTTAGAACCGCAGAGTTGAAGGAGATTCTATGGATCATTGAGCCCAGCCCCTGTCAAGGAGGCACAGTGCGGAATCGAACTCCCAACTTCTGGCTCCACAGCCAGATACTAAAACCACTGAGTTGTCTAGCAGTTGATGAGAAGTCTTTGGCTATGCCACAAATTATGTAGTTGCAGACTCAAGTTTGTCATGGGCAGGGCGATCCTATATTTGGGCAGATGATTTGGGGTAGTGGGGTGGAGAATCTTGAGTGATAAAATTGGCATGTCTGAAAGCTGTTGCATTTTGGGGCATTACCAGTCAAAGCTTTGGGAATCTTTGACTTTAAGTCCTTTCAGAGAGGTGTTCTGTCTTTGTTTGGACACAACCAAATATTGTGCCATCCTGGGGACTTAGCAAATTTATTTCATTATGAGAAATCCATGGAAGTTCATGCTGAAATAAATGTGTCAGTCACAATATTTTTGTTTTGTGTTTGTTCTGACTTTAAACACTGATTTTGCATCTCCTGTCCCACCTAAAGAATACAGATATATGCTTTCCTAGTATTGCTGTTGGCACAGCATGGAAGAGTTTCTTTCTGAGACTACAGATCAAGGCTCCTTCAGCTAGCATGACGATTGGCCACAGTGACCAACAGTTTGGGACTACTGTATTATAATTCCAAAAAGTAACTTTTCCAAGCTGTGACAACTCGTAACTAATAAAGTGAAAACTTCAGCAAATTGTATATTTGTTCTCATACAGAATCAGAGCACATTTCATCTTCGTTTACAAGGTACTTGTATAATACCATTTAAAATACCTTTTTCCCCTTAACACAGGGGGGTCCCAGCCTTGGGTCACCCAGATGTTCTTGGACTGCAAATCCCAGAACCCTTCACTACCAGCTGTGCTGGCTGGGCTTTCTGGGGATTGCAGTCCAAGAACACCTGGATTACCCAAGGTTGGGAACCACTGCCTTAACACATCCAGTCCCAACCTTCTCTGCCTGATACCCTCCAGATGTTTTCAGTCACAACTCCCAATGGCCATTGCTTTCTGAGTTGGATGGGAGTTGAAGTTCAAGATGTATGTAATGTTCCAGATATCACCTGAGCTTTTAGGGCAATCCCCACCCACTGCAGTTGAAAATGAGCTGATTATTTTTTAATCAATTTTCTCTATTGCTTCCCGTATCTAATGATATCCCAAAGTGGTATAGAACAAATACAATTAAAATAAATTAAAATAGTTTAAAATAATAAACAGTAAAATAGCAACCACTAAATACTGTTAGTTAAAGATATTTAAAATCTGAGTCTCCAAATGCAATTCTGAAACTAGCACAATCAGACAAAGGTTTAAAGGTAGATAAAGGGGGAGTAGAAGTAGCCCTCCCGATTATGTTAATGTACATGGTAAAGGATTCCCAATGTGTTGTAGTGGATAGAGTGACAGACTAGGACTCTGGAGAACAGGGTTCAAATCCCCACTTGGCTGGGGCAGTGGAACTGGTACAACCTGGTACAACCAATTGCTCCTAAAATATGTAACTTACCTTGAAAGCCCTATTAAGGTTGTTATAAGTTGATTCTGACTTGGCACCACATAACTTGTCAGTACCCTCATACCTTGCCAACAAAAGTCCGAATAGTCAAAGCTATGGTTTTTCCTGTCGTGATGTATGGAAGTGAGAGCTGGACCATAAAGAAAGCAGACCGCCGAAGAATTGATGCCTTTGAATTGTGGTGCTGGAGGAGGCTCTTGAGAATCCCCTGGACTGCAAGGAGAACAAACCTATCCATTTTGAAGGAAATCAACCCTGAGTGCTCACTGGAAGGACAGATCCTGAAGCTGAGGCTCCAGTACTTTGGCCATCTAATGAGAAGAAAAGACTCCCTGGAAAAGACCCTGATGTTGGGAAAGTGTGATGGCAAGAGGAGAAGGGGACGACCGAGGATGAGATGGCTGGACAGTGTCTGCGAAGCAACCAACATGAACCTGACACAACTCCGGGAGGCAGTAGAAGACAGGAGGGCCTGGCGTGCTCTGGTCCATGGGGTCACGAAGAGTCGGACACGACTAAACGACTAAACACACACACAAACACCCTCATACATCTTTTGCCACTGCTTTCTATTGCCACAGATTTACAAAAGGACTGTAGGTTCTTTTGACTGAGGCCTATTCTGGGGTAGGAGAATGCGTATGCGGTTGCTAGGCAGCCATTGTTTTTTCCTAGAATAGAGGAGAATGTCAAAAGTTGCCTAGCAACCATATGTATTCTTTCCCCCTTCATTCTAGGTGTGTACTTGACAGAGTTATCTTGGGGCCTTGTTTTGTCCCTCAGAGTTAGAGTGATGGCTGCCTTGCCTGTAGCAGATACTTGTCCAGTCATTTCTTTCAAGTGCCTTTCATGTTTTCTCACACCTTCTTTCTTTTATTTGACATTTTAAATACATTTCCAACAGTTTCTCTGCAGTATTACAGGATAAAGGATTCCAGTATCTACTACACTTAATTATTTAGATCAGCATTTTTTACCTCTTCTTATTTCCTTTCATTCTCAGAATTCATCCTCTAAACCTGCTTCTTACCTATAGATTTTGTGATCCACTGCAGCAAGTGCACTAGAATTCATTTTCTTTTGAGAAGATTAATTTTAATTTCCTAAAAAAAGGTTTATCAGTGCTGATTATTTTTTTTAAAAAATTCTCAGCTATTTGTGCGAGATCAGTATACAGAGCATGAAATGAACCTGCTGATGCCTGCCAGAAATTAACAGTGGCCATGCTTGAATGGAGAAGCATTAGAAAGTAGATGTTTCATTTCACTAATACTTCTGTTCAAGGATTCAATAAAGAGGTCTAATTTCATCTAGTGAGTGACGTCATTCCCCTTTTGTTACAAGGATCTATTTTAAGACTGTGGCGAATTTCATTGCAAAGTTTTCTGCATGCAGATATAGGGAAACCGGGAGGAGGCACAATTGGTCTTTCATGAGGTAAAAGAAGTGTAAATTGGCCACTGCTGCAATACTGTGGTATTGTCTCTCCAGAATATAAAACAAAGTTTGATAACAGAGTCTGATAACATGAAAACTGTATCTGTGGAATTTAATCTACTTATTACTATGCCAGGATAAATTATCCTACATGCAACAGTGTCCTTTGAGTCCTGAGGGGAGATTTTATGGGAGAATACTTAATAATTGTAGAACTGTTAAACCACCACTTCTGTCTGTGTGTTTCAGTGCTGTAGTTTGTTGAACGTATAACTTAACTAAAATGTTCTCTTATTCCTTGTTGTAGTCATTGCTTTTACTTTTAGCCTGTTTAATAATTTGCCTGATCAAAGAAAACATATTTTGAGTTCATGTTTATTTGTTAGTTATTTATGGATTGCATATATATTTGTATTTATATATTCCTCCAGTGACCTTTATGTGGTGTATATCGTTCCATATTTATCCTCATTGCAGCAACCTTGTGATAGTAGGTCAGGCTGACGGAGTATGGTAGACCCAAGATCACCCACTGAGCATCATGACTGAGTGGAGACAGGAAATGTCATCTCCCAGATCAGTGGTTCCCAACTTTGGGTAACCCAGGGGAATTAGGCTACAACAGAAATATTGGCCAGCACAGGTAGTGGTCACGTTTTAGTCCAGGAACACCTGGGGACTCAAGATCGGGAACCACCATTCCCGATCATAGCCCAACGATTTAACTATTGCACCAGGGTAGATCTCTCAACATGCAGATGTGGGCAGGATCTAGCAACTATTGCAGCATCTCTTCTGTAAAAGTGTCCTTTGATATGAAAGGTATGCAGGCGTTGTGTTAACAAAGACTGCTGAACTTGAATGCTGATTTGCAGTGACTTGACTATAGCTTGTATATGTCTATCAATTTTATTTTTCTTAGAAATCTTTATAAGTCCCTTTTCTGTCCAGCTTTCCCAGCAATGTGCAATTTAAAAAATGCAATAGTTTTATTTTTATTAGTGTGAGATTCAAGCAGTCTTCTCCCTCCCCAAATTGGTCCTTCTTCTTCACATCATTGCATGTGGAATCTATTTTAATATCAACAGGTTTCTTTTCAGTAACAAACACAGGCTCTCTTTCAACTTTAATAAAAGTAGAACTTAAATTCTCTTTTTCTGGGTGCCACATGTCTTTTGTAACAATATTGGAGCCAGAAACATTACGTCTTTCAACAAGCTCACAACAGGTAGCAACAAATTCTCCATTACAGGGTGTAGCATTCTCCATTTATTAGATCTATGGTTCTTGTTGTATTATGTAATGGTTTATGAATATTCATATTGCTGTGAGGCGGAGCCGAGAGAGATGCTATAAGAGGCGGAGTCAGAAAGTCAAGAGACAGATAGAGTTAGTTAGAGAAATGTAAGAGTCAGGCAGGAGAGAAAAGCCAGACAGAGTAATAGAGTGTGTAGTTTGGGAAATTTAGATGTGATTAGCTACTGAAGATATTTATGGATCTCTGTAATCAATAAACCAAAGTTTTATTTAAAAGAACTTGAAGTGTGGACCTGAATCTTTCTGAAGTAAATGGTGATTTAGAGATCACCTGGTGGCAGCATGTGTAAAAGAAGAGAGTGTTTGCCTTCGTGTGCTCTGAGGCTTGAAGGTCAAGCAAAGGGGCATGAGGGTGGACGCCACACAGGGAAACAGACATATTTAAACCTACAGATAGGTTCACTGGTGGAAGACCCATCCCATGTTGGGTTCCCATACTTGGTGGTCTCTGGATCCCTCTGGATTCTTGGTGGAAGCATCCTCCCAGGAATATTCCCAGGGGAAATCAGGCATTGTTTGTTGTCTCTATTATTAACCCTCCTTGCAAACCTCTTCCTTTCTTTTCTCCTTGCCCCTCCTCTGCTGTTTCTCCCCAATAAGAGGTTTTTAATCATTGGCTTTTCTCTCCACTCTTTGGGTTTCCTCCCTTGGGGCTTCTTCTCTGGGTACCTTCAAGGTTACCCACTCTCCTGACCATGGGTCTTCTTTGACAATCTTGATCCAATTTTCCTCTCCTTTTTCTTCCCCTGATGTTACCAAACACTCTTCCATGGTAGGTACTGCCCTTCCTTCGTTCTCTCTTCCCTCTTTATTCCTTCCTTTCCCACCAAAATCACCTCCACTTCTGGTGCACCGTTTCTCATGCTTTCAAACCCCAATTCACCGCCATTCTGTTCATCAGTTCTTTCATCTCAATGGCATTAATGTCCACCCTTTTTGAAGGAGATGACACACTTCATTGTTCTCTCAGTGTATCACAATTAGTAGTATTTCTAAGACACTTTCTGGTACTGGGCCATAAAAGTGAGATTGCAGTTAAAACACTACTAGGTTAGTACAATAAAATGGCAACATTTTAAAAACTAGAAATAAAACTTTTTGTAAATCAGAAACAATCTTAAGATTGACCAAAAGCCTGATGTAGTTTCACAGTTGGAGATAGATGGTCCATTAGTCACTGAAAAATGTTTGTCACAATAAATTATTTTCTTCACATTGCCGCATTTAAACATCATTGGTTTGTGCTTAATCGTTAGAAGATAAATGCAACCTTAATTTGCAGACTTGATTACCAGAGAACAATCTATTTGGTACTGGTTAGACCTCATCTAGAGTATTGCGTCCAATTCTGGACATTGCAGAAGGATGCTGACAAATCGGAACAAGTTCAGAGGAAAACTTTTTAAGTTAGAGCAGTACAGCAATGGAATCAGTTACAGTGGTGCCTTGCATTACAACGTTAATTCGTTCCAGTGAAATCGCTGTAGAACGAAAATGTCGTAATGC